CCCGCACGTGCTGTGCCCGCTGCGGAGCCGACGCCAGGCCGGCCGCCACGAGAGGACTGGCCGGGCCATCGGTCCTGGGACTCTGCCTCGCCACGTGGGAGCCCGCCGGCGGCAATGGCTGCCTCTGTGGGTGTGGAGTGTCTGCTGGTTGGGCTGTCGTAATCAATGGAATGGCTACCGAGTCTCTCAGCCCCATCTGGTCCTCTGCCCCAGGCACCCAGGCCCAGGGGCCGCTGCCCCAGGCACCCAGGCACCCAGGCACTGAGGGGCGTGGGCCCCACCCTGAGCTGCCACAGCCTTTCCCGGGCCAGGCCTGGCTGCATCCTGACCCAGAGCCACGCCCGTGGCTGTGGCTGGGCGCCGCCCCGTGCGCAGAGCACCCTGCGCCTTCGCCAACAAAGGACATGGGGGTCACACACACAGACATCGGCCTCGGACTCCAACACGCTCCCCTGGCTGTGAGAGCGGGCGTCCCACTTAGCTGGCGCCGCAGGAGTGTGGGAGAAACCGTGCTGTAAGCTCTAAGGACAAGGAAAGGACCTGCTGTCCTCATCCACTAACAGGCTGTGCACATGGGCCTGGGGCCGCTCCGTCTGTCTGCTTAGGACGGCAGCATCGCCAAAGCCAAAGCCGAGCCTCTCGGGGCCGCGGTGGTTTTTAAGACATAAAGCAGGGGAGCTGGGACCTGAGAGAGCCAGACCTTCTCTTCTTTTTTTAACATATAATATTTTATTGATTTTTCACAGAGAGGAGGGGAGAGGGATAGCGGTAGGAACATCGATGAGAAACATTGATCAGCTGCCTCCTGCTCGCCTCCTACTGGGGATGTGCCTGCAACCCAGGTACATGCCCTAGACTGGAATCGAACCTGGGACCCTTCAGTCCTCAGGCCAACGCTCTATCCACTGAGCAACACCGGCCAGGGCCCCCAGACCTTCTTAGCTGTGGTTCCCGGGCCCCCGCACACCGAGCAGGGAAGGGGGTCTGTGATGGGAGAGCGTTTGGAGGAGGCCTGTGGAGGCAACTGTTCCCGTGAGGTCAGGGGCCAGGGCAGCCGCCTGCGGGGCCTCCTGGCGAGAACTTCCCTGGCGAAGGGCCTTGTCCCCCGGAGAACAGGGCCGAAGGGGCCGGCTCCCTGCCGCCGAGCCCAAGGCTCCGGGCTTAACACCCACCGGCCCCCACCTTCACACGCTCTCCCTTACACTTCTCCCTCCGCTGGCAGCCGAGTTCCTGCCACTTCATTACATTTCTAAGTAAATTACTTCTTTAAAAAAAAAAGGGGGCGGGGGGAGAAAAAAACACCTTTCTGCGCACAAAGGAAGGTAAACGGGAAAGAGGAAAAAGGTCACTCGTAAGTGTGATAACTCCAGACGGTGCCAAGTCGCCAGGGTTCGTCCTCGGCTGCCAAGCTAAACAAGGCGCGCGGGGCCGCTCCCCGGCTCCCGCCCCCTCGGGCCGGCGGGTTCCCGCACACCTGAGGGTCCAGCTCGCCCCGCGGAGCTGTGTTTAACTTGGCCGCTCACGTCCAGGCGCCCCCCGCCCGCCCGCCCGCTCATAACTTGGCTCTGGCCGAACATATCACACCCTCCTGCCGGGGCCGCCCTTTCCTACGCGCAGTGCCTTCTGGAGTGAATCTGAAGAGGGAAAAATGGTTATCAGGTAAAACGGCCGGGGGAAAAAATTAAAAAATAAAACAGCAACACCTCCCTCAGAGAGGCAACACGAGACACCGAAGAAAGCGCCAGCAAGAAAAATAGAAATAGGTCACAATTGACCAATTTGATGCCACTGATTTGCTGCCTGAAAAAACACGCTGACAGCAGAGATGTGCGCGGCCGGTAATCGACGCCAATGCCGGCTCCTGGCAGGCACGGAGATAAACACCCACACAGCGGGTGAGGGACAGGGCGGGGGACACGCTGGGGCTGCCTGGCCATCTCCTCCACCCCTCCCCGAGGCACGCTGGCCTGGCCTCCCCGTTCCCCTGAGCAGAAAGGTTGCCCTGAAGACATGCAGCTGCTGGGACAGAGGGCGTCTGTGCTTCGCACGGGGCTGAGGATGGTGGGAGGGTGATGAGGATGGAGATGGGTGGGCTGCGGGAGGCAGAGGGAACCAGTGTCCTGGCTCAGACACATCTGACAGCGCTCACCCACGGAGCACACTGTCTCTGATGCTCCCCAATCCTAACATGGAGGCGAGGCGGCCACGCTGGGCACTGCCCTGGGCAGCCAGGAGCCTGGCACCCGCTCCCAGGAAGGGGGCGTCCGGACAAGGACAATGAAGTCTGCCCCCAAAAGAGAGCCCTGCACCGGTTTTTAAATGAATACCGTGGTCCATGGGAAACACGAAACCCCAAGCACATCCAGCTGCAGCAGCTTTTCCGGGGGGTGGTGCTCGCTAAGCATCTGGGTGAAAACAAAACCCCCAAACTCCACTGTCCTCCGGCTGTCCTGCTGCTGCCTGACTCACGTGCACACTCCCCCGACGGGCCACCCTGGGAAGGCCTGGCACGGCCGGCCTGCGGAGGGACAGAGTGGGCGCGGGGGACCGTGGGCACCGGAGCCGGGCTCCGCGGGGGGGAGACGGGCACCGGGCATCGCCGTGGTGTCCAGGGCCGCCGGCAAGCCGGTGCCAAGCCGGTGCCAAGCAGCCCACACTGCTCCGAACGCCGCCCCTGGCCTCGGCACACCAGCCTTGCTGTCTCGGATGCAGAATGGCCGGTGGTTCTTTAAAAGGAACTTGAACCACGGCTCCCTCCTCCGCCTGCTCCTGGCCGGGGCCGGAGGGTGGTCACGGAGCCCTGCCGGCCGCTGTGACCCCTGTGACCTTGCAGACAATGCCAGGGCCGGAATGCACGTGCTCTGGGCACTCCTGGAACACGTGTGTGCTTTAAACGGAGACCCTCCCGGGGAGGACGGAGAAATGAAAATAAGTGAGGCAAGGGCCGGGCGTTCAACAAGAGCCACCCACAGACCCCTCTGCTTCTCAGAACGGCCCCCCGACTCGGCTCCTCCAGGCCGCACGCTTCCAGGTGGAAGCAAGCCCCGAGAAAACAAAGCCAGAGCGGCCGTTTCTATTCCTGTCTCCACTCCTCACCCCGCGCAGAGCCAGGCCGGCCCACCTGGGGCCACCAGAAGAGCTGGCCGCGCCAGCAGCTGAGCGAGGGCACCCCTGCCCCAGGCCCAGGCCCAGGCAAGTCATCTTTGTTGTCCAGGGAAGTGTTTTACTGGGCACCTGGCAGCTGACCCCGGCTGGGCCAGGGAAGGGACGCGGGAGCCACTGACATGTGCGCCCTCAGGACAACGAAACCAGGACCCCGCTGCCTCCTGGCCCGCGGCCACCCGCCATCTCTGCTCCTCCAAAGGTTCGGGTCCCAGGGACCTGGCCTGGGCTTCTTGAGATGGTCCCGCGAATTCAGCCCACCCAGCGGCTCGCTGGCTGCAGCACAGCCCAAGGCAGACAGAACACAGCAGCCTCCGCACAGAGCGGGGCGCCCGCCCCCCCAGCCACAGAGCTTCCCTGCGGGTTCACCTCCAGGCGGGGAACACAGCACTGCGAGGCGGGGCGCCTCAGCCACCCGCTCCACAAACTTTAATGAACTTTTAAAACCAAAGGCCTGCAGAGGCCTGAGCAGCCTGGCAGCCCTGTCCCTGGCAGAGGGACCCCCCGGGGGACCCTGCCAGCTCCTGGGAAGGTCTCAGTCCCAGGCCTGGGAGGGGGCAGGCCCCGACGTGCTCAGCAGGACCTTCAAGGATGCAGGCAGGTCCCCCCGCGGGAGGGGTCCGGGGCCCTGGCAGACAGGGGTGTGTGTCTGTTCATTGAGGCTCTGGGGTCCGTTAGGCCCTGGGTCTCGGTTTCCCCAGAAAATGCGGAGCCCGCGTGGATGTAAACCAAACCGGGGTCCAGGCACCGGCTAGGGGTCCCCCGGACCTGGGGAGACGGAGCCCCCGACCCCGGCCTCCCGGTCTCCGGGCCTCCCGGGCTCCATCCAGAGGAGAAAGGGCTTTGTGCGCCAGGCTCCCAGCCTGTCCGCACGTCCGCGCTCTCCGGGCGTCCAGGGTGCAGGGCGCCGGCTCAGCCGCCTCCGGCCGGCGGGAGGGGACGGCGGGGAGGCCCGGGCGGCCCGGGCCCGGGAGGAAGGGATGCGGCCCGCGGGGACCCGGGCGGGGCGGCTGCGCGGACCTGGAGGGACCCCGCGGGGCGAGGAGGGCGCAGGAGCCGCCCTTTGTCCTCCGCCTCCGCGGTGGCCCCGGAGCCTCCCCCGCTCCCCGCGCTCCGGCCCCGCTCCCCGCGCGTCCTCCCGGCTCCGGCCTCCGAGCGCCGGACCCCGGCTCCCGGCGCCGCCGCCCGGTTCCCCGGGCGGAGCAGGGGAAGGCGCAGGGAGGCCGGAGCCGGGAGGACGAGGGGGTGGAGGAGGGGGTGCAGAGGGAGGACGGGGAGAGGAGGAGGAGGAGGAGGAGGCCGCCACGTGACCCGCCACATTCCACCACAGCCGCCGGATCAATAACTTAGTGTCCCCGGCCCCCCCGCCGCCAGCGCGCCCCCGAACCCCGCCGCCAACTCCCCTCTCCGAGCCGGACCCGTCCCCAAAGCCGGGGTGCGTCACGGGGGCGGCGGCGGGAGAGGGGCGGGGGCGGCCAACTTTCCCGGCGCGGCCGCGCGGGGGGCGCGGGGGGCGGCGGACACGGCCCCGCTCCCGCGGCGGAGGCCGCCTGCCCGCCCCGCGCCCCCGCCCGGCCCGGCCCGCGCCCCGCGCCCCGCGAACCGCGCACAAACTTTTCCCCGCCGGCGGCCCGGCGCCGCTCCTTTTTGTCTTTCTCCGCGGCCGCGGCCGCTGGTGTGTGCTGACCGCTTCCCGCCGCCCCACGGGGACCCCCCGGCCCCCAAAACCTCATCCTCCCTCCACCGGGGCTCCGGGCGGGGCGCCCGCACTCGCGCCCCGAGCCCCGAGCCCCGCGCCCCGCGCCCCGCGCCGCCCGCGCCCACGGAGGGGTCCTTACCTTTGAGGGACCGCGGCTTCGCCTGCTTGCGGCGCGACATCCTGAAAGCAAAAGCGGGTTGTCTCAGAGCCGCCCGCCCGGGAGGACCGCTCCGCTGGCCGCGCGCCCCGCGCCCTCCGCGGCCTCCCCGGTCCGCGCTCCGCTCCTCCGGCCGCTCCGCTCCGCTCCGCTCCGGCTCCGGCGGCCGCTCCGCGGGGCTGGCGCCCGGGCTCCCGCTCCGCACGGCGGCGGCGGCGGCACCAAACTTTCCCAGCCCGCGACCCCCACCCCCACCTCAAAAAAAAAAAAAAAAAAAAAGAGGTGAAGAAAGAAAGAAAAAAAAAAAAGGAAGAAAAAAGCAGCTAAGAACAGTTTGCAGGACCGGGTCTGCGGAGCCGGCGGACACTCTACAGGGGAGAACCCGTTACCGTGTCCACCTCCATCAAAACGCACGCCGCCGATGCAGACAGGAAAACTCACCCAAGAAAAGCGTGTTTCTCTCAAAATCGCTTTTCCTTCGCAACAAAATCTCCCCCCAAAATAACAAAATAACAACAACAAATAATAACAAACAGTAAGGCGCCGGTGCGGGCGCCGGCTTTGTAGTTGGGGCCGGGTCGCCCCGCGGCGGCTCCGGGAGGAACCCGCTCCGGCCGCCGCGGCGCAGGGCAGGGGCCGGGCCCGGACAGAAACACTCCCCTCACCAGCCCGCGGGGAAAGTGACTCAAAAATAAAACCAGCCCGCACCGGCCGGCGGCCGCGGGGGAGCGCGCGGCGGGCGGGCGGGCGGCCGGGGCCGGGGCGCGGGCGCGGGGTCGGGGCGCCGGGCCGGCCGGTCGGGGCCCGGCGGCGGCGGCGGGCGCAGCGGCGGCGGCGGGCGCAGCGGCGGCGGAGCGGGCGGCGGGGCCGGCGGAGCCGAAGGAGCCGGAGGAGCGGGCGGGGAGCGGAGCGGAGCGCAGCCGAGCGCGCCCTGCGCATCACCAACCTGCGCGGCCTCGGACTGCGCCGCGGCGCCGGGAGTCCACATAATAATGGGAAATGGAAGCGAGGCCCCCAAAGCCATCAGGACGGCTCCAGAGGGGGCCCCGGCCCGCGGGGACTCGCTCGGTACGTAATCACTGAGGAAATCATTGTCAGCCCCGGCCCGCGCCGCGCGGAGGGGCCGCCGGAGCGGCGGGGCCCGCCAAGACCCGGCCTGGACCCGCGGATCGGAGCCCGCCGCCGCCCGCCGCCCGCCGCCCGCCGCCCGCCGCCGCCCGCACACCCCGCCCGCCGCCCGCCGCCCGGCCCCGCCCGCTCCGCCTCCGCCGCCCGCACACCCGCCGCCGCCGGCTCCGGTGCGCGGACCTCTCCTCCGCCCGCTCCGCTCCAGAAGGAAAGCCGCGCGGCGGCGAGGACAGGTCCCCCTTCTGGCCGGAGGGACGATGGATGGATGGATGGATGGATGGATGGAGGCGGCGGGGCCGCGGGCCGGAGGGGCGGCGGGCGGGCAGGGCTGGCCGGGCACGGCCGGACCTCACCGTCCAGGGGGCCCTCGCTCCGGGGAAATGTTTTCTTTTGTTGCTTTTTTGGTTTTTTTGGTTGTTGTTTTTTTTTGTTTTGTTTTGTTTTTTCTGGGGCAACAGCGGAGCCGCCGGCCTCCCTGATGTGGAAGCTTTTTCCAAGGCAAGTGGGCGCGATCTGTTTTCGCTTTTCCTTTCCGCTTAGAGCAGACAAAAGTCAGGGGCACGCCGCCCGCCGCCGGAGGATGTCCTAGTGGGATCCCAGCCGGACAACTTGCTGGTCCTTTACATAACGGTCTCCGATGGGCACGGAAATAAACATGTCTCTTGTTGTTGTTGTTTTAAAAAAAAATAAAGAGCGAGAGGTAAGAACAAGCCGGAGGAGAGTTTGTGAAACTCCTGGAATGTGTGCAGAGTGGTGGAATTATTGTGTTTTCAGGCAGGCTTGTGTTCTAACTTTTCACCTGCTCCCGGCCCCACACCAGAAACCAAACCGCAATGGGTGTCCTTCTTGGCCCTGGCCCTTAGGAAGGACATGTTAATTCCGTTTGTTTTGCCCGAGTATTGATGGATCACACTTGACAAATCACAAATGCCCGGACAGCACTGCCAAAGTAAAACGTAGGCTCTCGGCTCTTTGTGGGCATGAAGAGGTTGAGAACAGAGTTAATTAATTTCACAGATGGGCACAGTTTCATACAAGTGGTATTGTTCTTCATTCTGTAAAAATTAAGATAAAACTCCCAATTAGGAGACCACCCGGAGACATCAAAGCGCTGAGGAAGTTGTGTTTTTCTCCCCAATCTAAACCTTTAAAGGGCTTTGACCCTCAAGCAGAGACAGTCGGCTTTTCCCCCAAAACCTTCATGTACAATTACATGTCTTCGCTGCGGCGACAGGAATTCCTAGCGTGGAGTTGCAGCTGCAGACAAGTCCGTGGAGCCGCGTGGCTGCGAGATAATCACGGACACAACTTCAGCTGCAGGGTCTGTGTGCAAACGTGTTGCGATTCTAGATGTTGCACATACGTTTTTAAGCACGCCACTTCACAGAAATCCTTCAGAGAGGAAGGGAGGGGGGGGGAATGCCTGCACTCCAAGTTTTTACAATGCCTTCCTTTCATGTGGTGGCCATATGTGTGCGGGGGCTGGGGCGGCAGGTATGTGTGGTCCCGGTTATGAGCGGCTCTGTCTGAAACGCTGATAGCATCTAAGCCTGTGTTTACTGGAACGTGAAAAACTGTTAACATGTTACTAACGTGTGTCCTAATTTGTTAGAATGGTCTTCTCTGCGGGCTCACGCTTTTTGTTCTTCCTCGGTCTGCGGCTCGCCGGCTCCAGGCAGCGGCAGTCCCTGGCTTCCCGGTGTTGATATTTCTCGTGCCTTCGTCTGCGAGAGACCGATAGAGAGCCTTCGGCAGGGGGACGTGGCTCTGTCCCAAGAGTCTCGGGTTCCGGGGGTGGGGGTGGGGGGGGACTGCAGTGTATTCCCGGGGGGCGGGGGGGCTAGAGTGCCAACCCCCCAAAGACAAAAAGAACGATTTTCCCCTAAATCTCACACAGGAACCTACAGAGATAGGGAGAGGTGTTTTTGAAGCATTTCTTTAAATACTTTAAGTTCGATATCAAATGACTGGTGGCTGGTAGGGAGAGGGGGGGTGAGGAGGGCGGCAGGGTGTGTGTGTGTGTGTGTGTGTGTGTGTGTGTGTGTGTGTATGTGAAGAGACACTGATTTTTGTCTCTAAAACATAAACTCCAAAAGCCACCCATGAACACAGCACCATCCCCTTCAGCATGAGCAAAAAGCATCCACTTTGGAAATATTTGAGTGGCATCGTGATGGAGGAGGAGGAACACACACAGGAAAATGGGAAAGAATATGACTAAGGACAGGGCAAGTGTTTTCTTAGGACCCACCACGGGGTCTGGGGGCCCAGACAGCCTGGCAGGCCCCACATTTTTTTTTTTAAGGAAACAGGATTCCCGGGATGGCATCCTGCCCCTCCCCATGGCATCCCGGGTGATTCACCCATTACCATCCGTGGGGAGCACGTGGCTGCCATGAAGCGCTGCTAGGTAGACTCGCAGTGACGTCCCATGTTTCACGGATAAACAGACGAAAACACACGGAATGTCCCACTCACAGGGTGAAGGCAACACAGATGCCGAACTGGACATGGTGTTTTGTCTTCCCTTCGCCAGCACAAGCGACCATCATTAATTAGCAACTGTGACCGTGGAAGCGTGCCTGATCAGTAAACAGTTTTTCTCGCTCAATAAAGTTTAGTTTGGGGATTGCGAACCACGGCACGCCCGTGGCCGTCTCCCCATGGGGAGACGCTGGGTGCCTGTTGGTGAACCAAAACTACCCTGTTTTCCCGAAAATAAGACAGTGTCTTATATTAATTTTTCTCCCAAAGTTGTGCTAGGTCTTATTTTCGGAGGATGTCTTATTTTCGGGAAAACACGGTAGAAACTCAGCTCCAGCCACGCTGGCCTCCGTCACATCATGCTGCCCACGGCGTCATCCACGCAGCCCCTCATGAAGACGTGGCACAGACAGACCGAGAAAGCGGGCAGGTTAGGGGTTACGCACAGACAACCTGCATCACAGCGTCAAGTTCAAGTGCAGACAGACCCTCTCTTACTCAGCCCCATGGTTAAGGACCGAAACGTCTGTAGAACTAAACTTTCCATTCCTAAGGAGCGCATGGCACTGAGCTCCCAGCTTTTTTGTTTTTTACCCTGTCTCCATAGCGCCCACTTTTAAGATAGTGTGCACTTTTTAGAAAACCTTTCATCGGTGGAGCAAGCAGAAAGCCAGGAACGGAGGGCCTCCTTTGAAAAAGATTGACTCTTTTTTTCTTTTTTTTCCAACTGCTAATTCCAACAATAACAGTATTGCTAACGGAAGGATTAAGGTGGAAGGAATTGTGTATCCACGGAACCTGACCTCAAAGGAATGAATTCCACAAAACGTGTAAGGTACCAGCTGAAGTAAACCTGCCGTTTGAAATGTCAGTTGCGAAACATAAATGCCTTTGATAAGTTTTAGGTGGTCCCTGAACCGATGACAGAGAAAGCAGTCATGATTCCATACAAACATCCTTACCACACGTTTCACTTCCTTTTTCTCGTCTGCAGTGTGTAACAATATCATGTAACATTTTCAGGGTTTTTTTTCAATGTATTTTTGAAAAAGGACGTCAAATGTACGTCCAATTTAAGGATAGTATCTGCCTGATTAATATGCCGTCTTACATCCCATATTTTCAAGACCGTTTAGGAAGGACTTTCAAAGCCAGATGAAAGTCGTGTGTGTGTGTGTGTGTGTGTGTGTGGTGTGTGGTGTGTGTGTGTGAAACATATGTGAATGTTTTATATGTAAAGTATAAAATAAAATACTACCTAACACATACAGGTACTAACATTTAAAGTTAGAACAATGTATAAAGGGTTGTTCAATTAGCATTTGTTGACAGACGTTTATCCATATTGTTGCAAAGTATCAGTTTCGCTTATTGGAAGCCATTGCCTGTAGCAAACAGAAGCTGCTGTCT